TCCAGTACTCCAGTACAAGGTTTTCAACGGTTCTCTAACTGATATCAATCCGTGATCAACTCGTAAAAGCATAACTAACCCTTACAAACCAAACTATAAAAAAAAACCTTAATTCTTCATTCTGTTTAAATTATCTACAGAAATTTCAAAATACTTCGACAAAATACACCCTGACAATAACTAGAAAAAAGAAAATCTGAAAAATAATTCTGCCCAGCTTTGTGTCTAAAGAAAAAAATTGTACACATTAATATTTTAGTCTTGCTTAGTTAGATTTTAACTCCCAGTTAGCTAATATTCATTCTGTCTAAATTTAGACTTTTTTGTATCACAAAAATCACCAAAAAACAAAAAGCAAAGAAAAAAAACAAAAAAAGAAACGAAAATAATAATTCTTCATCGACCGTTAGCAGTTCTCCCTTTTTTTAGTTTTAATGTTTTACTTGTGTGATTGTATCCTATGAAAATTCAGTCCCAGCTTTTGGACAATTTCCCCAATGGATGATGACCTTCAGGCCGAATACTGTCAGGTTATTGGTTAATAAGAATTTTCAATGCTTCAATTGTTAGTTAGTTGAATGGGTAAGCAAGAAGACAGAGAAACTTACTAACCAACTAACTAACTAACTAGCTAGCTAGCTGGCTAACTGACTAGATAACGAAACGAAGCTAAGCTAAACCAAACTAAACTAAACTAGAGGAAATAATATTATTTCCTTCCCATCATTTAAAAAAAAAATTTTGTTTTTGGTCTTGTATATTTCAAAAATACTTTTCAGACCTCCTTATTTCTACTTTTCCCAACATATATATATTTACCTCTACTCTATATTCCATTTGGGAATTACACGATTCAATGCATGTTTGTTTAAACTCATGTCTGTATATGTTTACTTGTTCGGGCGGACGCGCGCGCGCGCGTATCTACAATGAATTTAAATTTAGCTCAAAATATAACAGTCATGTAGTGTAGATAAACAAAAATATCTATACATTTCTTTCTTTGAAAACATTGTCTACAATTATGAAGGAAGAAAAGTGTGAGTAATAGTAATTTATATTTTTAATTTTTAAGAATTTATCGCATAGAAATATATATATATAAGTGAATTTTGGTTATGGTTGACGGAAAATTAAAGAGGATAAATTTTGAATGTCAGTAAATATTCCATGACAAGTTGTTCGTCCACTACTGTTTCTTTCCCTGCTCTAATCAGTAGACAAGTTTCATACATGCCACTATAATTAGTTAATGCTGATGTCAAAGGAAGGTGAATTCAGAATGATGGAATAAATGTGTGTGTGTGTGAGTGTCAATTGGTTGGAAAGCGATCGACAAGAAATTACAGACCTAGACCTCCTGTTGATTGGCACTCATCAGCAAGCCACATCTACAATCTTGTTAGAAATGATATCCCTTTAGATGTCTGAAACCAAGTCATCCTTTGCTGTAATCTGGGATATTACCATTAAGGCTAGTAGCCTCGGGGCTTGCTGTCAACTGCATATAGCAGAATACTTTATCTTAAATGTCCCCCCAAGGTGAACATAGATAAAACAGAGGTGATGAAGATTCCTGGCCAACATCAACAGCAGTAAGAACAACAGACAACAATCAACCAGCATGAATGGGAGGAACCTCAAAGAAACAACCTCCTTCACCTTACTACCTGGGAAGCATCGTTTCAACTACAGGCCAGCGGAACTGACGAGGATATCAAAGCCAGAATCGGAAAAGCAAGACAAGGTTTCATTACTCTCAAATATGTGTGGAGGTCAATAGCACTCAGCATGAAAATGAAAATAAGATCCGGATTTTCAACTCCAATGTGAAGTAAGTGCCACTTACTACATGGATCAGAGACTTGGCGAGTCATAAAGAGCATCTCAAACAAACTTCAGACCTTCATTAACAGTTGTCTTGCGAACCAACCAGGAAACGATTGCGAAACAAACAGGCAGGAAGAAACGGAGATGGATTGGCCATTCGCTGAGGAAACCATCAAGTGACATCACTAGACAAGCCATCGCTCAAGTGGAACCCTAAAGGGAAGCGGCGAGTTGTTCGTGAGTGCAAGGGTGACTTGGAGGAGGTCATGTGAAGAGGAGATGAAAGTATTTGGGGAGACTTGGAGCGGGGTGAAATCGTTGGCAGAAAACAGAAGGCAATTGAGGTGCGTAGCTGAAGCCCTATGTTTCTCTAGGAATTAAAGGATATAGTAATAATAAATGCCGCTCCGCATGTGAACTGTTTCTCAGGTAAAATATCGTGGCCAGTGTGGGTCTTCCAAAGAAGGTGAGAAGACAGTCACTAACCGATGACATTTGTTGGTGGTTGCTGTGTATCTCGCAAAATGGTAGAAGTTGAAATTCATGGGTAATTCGATCAGTTAATAGTAGCTGATGCTGTAACGTTGTAACTGGAAAGTCCTTCGTTCAGACCCCCCCCCCAGTGAGTGTGCATTGCTGAAAAGGTCCATACCAGAAGAGAACTCTATCTAGTATTTCCTAGTTGGTTTCATTCCTAGATATCCTTATGACTAAGAAAGAGGACGGTAGAATATAAAAGGAACAAGATGAAAATTCTAAAAGTATCGATCGTTAAATAACAGAATCCTCGCCAACCATACACATGGTCTCTAGTTCGATGTCTGCCTGACACACTCCTTAATGCCGCTTAACTGGTTGTATGCTCTGTAAAGAGGGGAGGTTAGACGTGAACCTATAAAGCCTGCCCCGTCAAAAATAAACACCACAGTTGCTGAAACTTCAGAGATCAAGCTTGAGGCCCTGTGTTCCACAGTGAAGGCAAAGAAACTTTTTAAAAAAAATAAAAAATTGATATCGAAAATCTATATCAAGTCATCAGCATACTCATCTTTTGAGTTCTCTACCTTTGAGATATAGACGAAATTTAGTAAAGCGTTTAATTCGTTGACCTCGAGTAATCTGCTCAAACTACTTTCTTAATGAAGAGCTTAAAGTTATCCGAAATAAATTAGTTTAAAAGTGGTCATCGAGGAACGTTCCTTAATAATCAAACCGCTAAGGTGAGCAAGTGTGTCAACAAGAAGTCGTGGCCAGTAGGCTGCAGTAGGTCGGGTGTGAGGACAAATACTCACCGAAGACATTGGTTAGGCGTCGCGTTATGTCATGAATTAGCAGAAGTTGTAATTCGTGGGCTGGCGATTGAATCGGTTCCTAGTGACTTAATGGTCTACGAGCTCGCCTTGTAACCAGAAGGTCGGTGGATGCGTACTGGGAAGAGTTTCAAACTATGGCAAAACAGCAAAACAGCTGTTCAGTACTCCCAGTTGGTTTTCCAATGGTTCTCTAACTAATGTCAGCTCATGATGAAATCCTGTAACCAGTCAAATCCCTACAAACCAACACTTGAATTCCAAAAAAACTGTTGTTCTTAAAACACTAGCTACTTGTTGAAAACATCATCATGACCATTTCAATTTCGCTCTCAAGAAGTAAGATTAAAAACTGTCATATTTTGCCTGTTTCTCTTTGTATATCTTCTAACAATTTTACTACTTCTGTGGAGCTAGTTAATTTCGACGTACAAATGGGCCTATTCATTACTGGATTTCTGAACATCATCCCTGAAAATGCATTTAGCAAGGAAGAAACAGAGTGTTAATTCGTAGCTGCGGTAACAAGGTATTTAAACTTATCTACTGTATTCCGACTAATCTTAATTTTATCTTAGGAGGTAGTCTTCTCTACATGTAGCTTAAAAATCCCCATGGAGTCATATGAAAAAGAGAAGACGTTCAGCGAACAAACTCTTTCGATGGCGAATTCACTCCCACAGCTAGCTGTATAATCGAATTTATATATAATTATTTGTGTGTGGGTGTGTATATAAGAGGTTTGTCAAGTTTAGATCATTGATCAGGTAATACAAGAATGATCTAATATAGAAGCAAGGTTAATCAGGCAGCAACTAAAGCTACTAAGATTGAGTTAGTAAGTTAGATGACGTAATATAATTGACTAAAATATTTCAACTTAGGTCAGGGTAGCAAGCAACAAAGGTAATTACAAGTAGAGATCAAGTAGAAGTGGGATAGATAATAATGCCATTTAAATTGGAACTGAAAATGAGCAAACAAGTTGGATGGTGTAACATAAATGACTAGAAAGTGAACGTTGGTCAAGTCAGTAACCATATGGTAGTGAGGTGTAGGAACATCTGATAGAATCCGAACACCAAGCTACACCGCAAACAAACCTCAAAGTCGTCCATGGAGTAAGAAGTAGTCTTCCTAAAGGTGTACGAATCAGACTTCTTCAAACTGCAGAAGCAATGGCGATTCACTTGCTAAGTCCTGCATTCTGCATACAGAAGAGGTTCGTTCAATCACTACACTTGCAATGGATGAAACCTGTTGCGTCACCTAACTCATTTGCTCGATTTCGGTCCTAAGTTAAATGGCATTATTATCTACCCCACTTCTACTTGATCTCTACCTGTAATTACCTCTTTTGCTTGCTACCCTGACCTAAGTTGAAATATTTTAGTCAATTATATTACGTCATCTAACTTACTAACTCAATCTTAGTAGCTTTAGTTGCTGCCTGATTAACCTTGCTTCTATATTAGATCATTCTTGTATTACCTGATCAATGATCTAAACTTGACAAACCTCTTATATACACACCCACACAAATAATTATATATAAATTCGATTGTACAGCTAGCTATGTGAGTGAATTCGCCGTCGAAAAAGTCTGTTCGCTGAACGTCTTCTCTTTCTCTACATGTACACGAAGCTATCAGGAAATCCGATATACTACTAGTTGTAGCTCGATTGTAGAAAAACTACAAACTCAAACTCCATCGCAATATCTGTCGTCTAAATGTCTTATTTAAATGTTCTTAGAATGTTAGAAAATACAATTTCAGATATCTTTAACTCTTACAAAGTACACTTGTATAATTTGAATATATACATAAATACTTTGAAAACACTCAAATGTGAACTTACAGGTACAGTTTCAGGTCTTAAAGTTGGTGCCATATTCACGACAGGACTGGATGCTGTTCTTTCTAGTAGGGGATTTCCACGACCATTTGATTGATTCAACGTTCTAGACAAAGATGAAGTTGAATCTAAACTGCTTGCGCCTGAACGATCTGATGTTAAAAATTCTGATCTGAAATAAAGTGAGGAGAAAATAGCATAAAAAATTTGACGTCACCATTATTTTCACCAGGCTTAGAGTAATCTTCAGTAGCACTATAATGATGAGAGAAAATTCCGGCTTAGGTGGAGGATTTTAGTGTCACGGTTGAGTCATTTAATCTGGATGATTTAATCACTCAGCTTCGAAGATCATTCTACACAACATCTTCAAAGATAACTCTTCAAAGAATATCTTCTGCAAGAAGCAGTTATTCACACAAATTTATCAAATAACCACCTCGCAATATAGAGGAACACTTCAGAAAGCATTACTAAATTACTGAGACCCTTCGAAGCTGTAGTTAAACCACTGGATCACACGTGCAAAGCCTACAGCCAGGTAGTACCACGAACTTTAGCAGATCTGGCTCATGGTTAGTTAAAACCATGAGTGTTATTCAAGTGTTGGTTTGTAGGGTGCAGCAAGTCGGGTGTGAGGACAAATACTCGCCAGAAACATTGGCTAGTAGTCTCGCTATGTCGTGAATTGGCAGAAGTTAGAGCTCATGTGCTGGCTGGTCATTGAATCGAGTCCCAGTGGCTGCTTAATGGTATACAAGCTCGTCCTGTAACCGAAAGGCTCTGTGGTGGGTGCATACTAATGAAGAGTCCCAAACTGGGACAAAACAACTGTCCAGTACTCCCATGTTTTCTAATGGTTTTGTAACTGATGTCAACTCATCATGAAATCCTGTAACTGCAACTGACAGTTGTTGGGTAACACAATACAAGCATCAAGTAATATGCAGTACGCAAAATAAAGTCACAATAATCCTAAATATTTGACTGGATACTAGGTGGAAACTAGTTTCAAGCGTCTAGTCTTTGACACTGGTGCAGACTGAATTCTGTCAGTCTATCAAGTTTGCAATATGATCACCATGCTACAATGTCTCAGCATAACGGTGGACTTCAAACTGTTGTGGGATGTTTCGAGGCAATCGGCCATAGGAAGCCTTGGACCTAGGTCTACACTCGTTAGCAAGTCGTATCCGTAATTTTGAGGGAACTCTTATCCCCTCTACATATTCGAACCTGACTCATCCAGTACCGCTGTCGGAGACGCTACCACTGAGCTATTCGGGTCCGAATCTTAGAAGGGAAAAGAGGCCCTTGAAGAATGGAGATAAGCACGAAACTTGGGTAGTACAGGGCTTCTTTCCGATCCCCACTAAACATCTAATAATCCAAAATCTTCACTACATCTTTTCTTTTCGATGATATTCAGTTTGCCACGTCTACGAATACTTTGTACATTATGGAAGTTATAACCTACATAATGAAAAGTTTTAACTTTGGATAATATTTCACTCGGAATATCACTACTAAATAACTATAAGTAGTATAATGCTCCATAGTCAGTAACATGCTGATGCTTACATCAAGTTTACATACAACAGTCTCATATCATTTAACCACTGGGTATGCATGATATTTATTATTAGAAAACATTTTTTGTATTTCGCAATGAATGAAAAAATCGAGACGATATTGTTGGACATCAGCAAGTGGTTTAAGTCAAATGGTCTTATGTTAAATCCTTCCAAATGTCAGGCAGTTAACTATACTTTCAAGCATCGACGTGACGTGCATGAGATAGTTAATTCCCATGATGCCTGTAGCACAGACGCTACTGAAATTGAAACCAAGTCGAGCATTAAATACCTTGGATTCTTAGTTCTTTCCTCTGACCTTTCATGGTCATCCCACATCTTATCAATCTCTAAGAGAATGTTTCGTCTTACCTTCTACATTAAAAAGTTAAGACAATCAGGTATCAACCAACCTTTACATCTACAGTTTTTAAACTCCTGTATTTTACCTATTGTACTCTATTGCTCTCCATTAATCTTTCCTGGGCTTCTCAAAAAAGACTATACCATATTACGAAGGGGATTAAATGGTGGGAGTAGGGCTTGTGGTTTGCCACTGCGTGAGCTCGCCAATACTATAGTCGAGAGGCATATAAATTCCTGTACAAAACGGGCAAAGGTCGTACTGCCAGACCCCTGAACCCTCCGCTTTATTCACAACTATCCCCTTGCATCTCGTCAGGTGGGACGAGAAGTCAATATAAGAAGTTATATGCTCAAACCACTAAGTACAGAAATTCTACAATACCCTCCCTATTTAGCCTGTATTTTATGCGATGGAGACACCGTTAGATGTGAAACATAAGTTACTGTGTGATTAGCAAAGTGAATCGACTCTTTCTTTCATCGTTCATCTTACTGTAATTTTATGGTGTCACCCTTTCTTACGTTTAATTATAACTTAGCTATTTTATTTTAGTTGTTATTAATATTATTACTGTAATTTTATACTTTATGCATATTTTTCTCCTTGTCGCATACTGTAATTTGCTACATAGCTGCTATTACAACGTTTTGTTATTATTATTATGTAATGTCTATTTTTTTGTCGTTTTGAGTAAATTAGATGCAATATTGTATTGAATGCTGAAAATTCCTTGCTGTATCATTCGTAATGTTTTTGGAATAAAGCAAAAATTATTATTATGTCTACCGACGTTTCCCTATTCATTGATGCTAATAACCTTACCAGGATAGTAATATCCATGCGGGATTTACAAGATTTCCGCTTATACTGTAGTAACTTAATTGTGGTTGTTCAGTATATAAAGTAATTTTTACGTTTTCCAGTTGATGCGATTCGGTAAAGAAGATAACAAACCACTCTACTTTCCTCTATTTTCTTTTTTTTGTCCTCTCCAGCTGGCTAGTTCCAGGAATGACCATAATCTCTCATCTCTTCCAACTCTCACTACCTCCCCACGTCACCGTCGCACTGACGACCTAATCGTCGCTTCTCATTGGGATTCCACTCAGATGATAGTCTGCATTGAGTGCGATGTCATTCGACGGCCTACTCAACGTATGCCTGATCAACGTATCTCCATTTTGTCTTACATATTTGTTGAGCAATCGGCTCTTGCTTGCTGGTTAGTTCCCAACCAGAGTTTTTTTTTGCTAGAGCCTGGCTGACCAGCTGGCTATTTGATCTTCAGTAAGGAGCCAGTCAGCGAGTTGGGCAGCTGTTGATGAAAAGTCTGCACATAGAAGAACTTAATGAATTAACATTTCGGTTGAAAAATGTGACTCTTGTTCTTTATGCTGAAGAAGATTTCCAAAATGGTTTAAGTTTACTTGATGAAGGCGTATCTTGGCTTTCCGATTCTACCTGGCTGGCTGGCTGGATTTGACACCTTCATCCGTTCTGCTGGAAGTAATTTATATCAAATCTCTCCCGCTGATGGTGATTGGTGCTGGTCGTTGTTGTCGGTTGGTTGTCGTCATCACCTCTGTCTTCTTTATGTTCACCTGCAGTCCTGTCTTCGATGCTTCTTCAGCCAGTTGTTGATTTCCACCTACAAGTCTTCGAGTCTGTGTGATATGTGACATAAATCATCCATCAGCGAAATCCAAATCTTCTAGATGGTGTCTTCTTATCGATGGTACAGCGTATTTATGTCTTCTGACACCCCACATATCATGGATTTGATGAATATTGGAAATTATAAAAAACGTCGTGTGTTAACATGACGAAATTGTTTCTCACATTTGTGTTGATCTTATCCCTTCATAGGAGAAGATGAGAAGGTGTTGGTTGGATCCAGGTTCGAAAATCATTCACAGACCATCATTCCGATTCAGACAGTGTTCACCCATGAACCCACCGCCACAGATAGATCACAGTACCTACAGATTACGAGATCAAGGCTGTTGATCATTATTCAGCCAACTCGGCTGGAATTCAATAGTGTGTTAGACCTCACTCCCTTAATTCATGGTATAGCGCTACTCTTGCCAGTGCCTTCAAGGAACATCTCCCATCACCTTGAAATCGTGGACCCTACTGGTCACGACTACTTACTAGAAAAAAGCTCCAGTCAACTTCGTCTTGAAGGCAGGCAGTAGCAAGTATCGGATTAATTCTCAAGAGTCAGTTTGTAAGGATTTCATTTGTTGCGTGCTGACGATGAGTCCCAAACTGGTGCGAAGCAGTAATAAGTAGTTTAAAGTATCAATACTACTGCCGCTTCTATGCAAAGATGGATTTCACCGGAACTTAGTATGAAATTTACAACAAGGCAAGAGTAAGAGTGGTATTCGAGCTCATAGACTCACCTAAGGACAAATTCTATCGGTTACAACAATCCTACAGAGCCATTTAATCACCATAACTTGGTTTATCTCAAACCCTAGAATGGTTATCAGTTCAAGTACCAAAGGTCAAAGAAGTAAGACAAGGCGATTACTGGATTACTGGAGTACAAAACTCTGTTGAAATCTAGACTAACATCAATTGGTTCCTGATGACATCTAACAAATGAAAGAAGCGTAAATCGCCACAAATTCCACAATCTAATTATATAAGTCTTCAGCTCATTTAAGGCTACCAGATGAGAAGTCGCAACCACAGGGTTCACGGTGTCGAGGTGAAGTGGATGTTCATCTGATGCACTGGTGAGAGCAGCGCTATATCACAAGCATTTAACTAAGTAGTGTCGTAAATACCCATAGATAACATTGGCTGGTTGTCACTCTAAAATCCCGGATGAGTAGAAATTAGAATTCATGGACCGGGTCCCAGTTGCTGATTGGTCTCCAAATATGCCTTGTAATTATTAAGTCTCAAAGCTCCTGTTTATGTCAGAGGAAACTCAAAGAGCGCTATAGAATTCCTAAAAGTCTCGTGCTTAGATCAATTTGGCGTTAGTATACTTATTAGTTTTCTTGTTACGTTAACCATTTTTGTTGTGTGTGGAACATAGGGCTTCAAGCTTGAGTATTGAAGTTTCAGTAGTATTTATCATTATTGTTTTTTTTAATTCCAAGAGGAAGATAAAGATTCAGCCAAACATCTCCATTGCGTTCAGTTATTTGCCAGCGTTTTCATCTGGCTAGGCGTCTGACCACATGCTTTCATTTCCTCTTTACATCACCTCCTCCTTCGTGTCACTCTCGAACTGACGACCAACTCGCCGTTTTCCACTCGGCTTCTAATCGAGTGCTGATCTGACGTGTGATGTCACCCCACTTGATGATTTGTTTTCTCAGAGTATGGCTAGCCAATCCACCTCCATTTCTTCCTGAATATTTCTTGCACAATTCGTTCCTGTTAAGATGGTTAGTCTTCTACCAGAGATCCCTCCTTTTTGCTGACCCATTCTAGCCGGTCATATGATCTTGAGCAAAGTGTTGAACAAAGACAGCTGTTGATCAAAGTCTGTAGTTTGTTCGAAGTGACCTTCATGACACGGCACCAAGTCTCTGATCCGTATAGTAAGTAGTACTGACTTCACATTGGAGTTGAAAATCGCGATCTTATTTTCCTTTTCATGCTGAGTGCTCAGTGCTGATTCCTTACACACAGATTTGAATGCAGTGAAAGCTTTCCTTGCTCCGTCTATCCTCGCTGCTTTAAAATCCTCATCAGTTCCGTTCGCTTGTAGTTGAAACGATGCTTCCCAGGTGGGTGGGTAGATCGGTGACGGAGGTTGCTTCTTTCAAAATCCTCCCATTTATGATGGCTGATTGTTTTCTGTTGTTGTTTTTGCTGTTGCTGTTGGTGTTGGCCAGGAATCTTCATCACCACAACTGTTCTCTCTATGTCCACCTGAAGTGATATCCTATCTTTGAAAATCCTTCTGCCAACTTGTTTCCTTTTCACTTGTATATTTTCCAGTTTATGTGAAACCAGACATATTCTCCAAGTTTTTTGTGTGGGTCCATTTTATGCATGTATCCTCATTGTCTGCCACTCTGTTTCGTATTATCCAGTCCGCCGCAATCAGGATAATCATTGGAGATATTAGATAGCTTTGTCTTACACTCTTCTTCTTTTCGAAGGGTTCCGTGAGTTTCCCGTTGTCGATTACTTGACATGCAGCGTTATCGTCCAACTGTTGGATGTTTCACTACCAGTTGTATTTGTTTTTGTAAAATGTTGGCTGACATCTCTTAAATCCATCCCCCAGTCAAATTCAATCATATGACCTTAGAATTCATATTTGTCCTTGTCCAACAGTGTGCGTTGGCAGCTAAGTGGTAGAATACTCGTCAGCCAATCATGTGGTCCAGGGTTAAATCTCCAACTGACTTACTCCAAAACCTTGATTAGTCGACACTAAGCTCTGTGAAAAGGAAATGGTTGGACATGAGACTGGCAATCCCATCGCCTAAAAATAACACATCACGGCTGTAGAAATTGATCCGTAGCTCATCCATAAAGAAGGCTTTTCTTAGTGATCTGGATAAACGATTCTTCAGGATATCAGCTGCGGTTTCACCTTTTAATTCAACACTGATAATTAGCAGTTTCTTCGGAAACGTCTGGATTCTTCCGGCTCTTGCCTTAACTTCATGTTTTTCTCGATAAATTTTGGAGGATATCCATTTTCTATGAGGACTTGTCTCAGTCGCTTCAGTTCCCTACTCCTGAGTAATTATATCAGTTATGTCTTTTATTACTTTCATGACCAATTACAAAATAAATTATCTGAACTGCAATAGACATCACATCAGTCAAAGTGGACGTCCCCTACGAATCCGAATCCAAGAACACAAGTTACCTATAAAAAAAACATGATATGTACTCCTGTTTCATATCAATACATGTGGATAATTATGGACACCAGTTTAATGGTTGGAACAATGTAGAAATTTTAAATACAGGATACACACCAAAAGTAATGCTAGGAGATTTCGAGAAGCCTGATGCTCAAGTGAATCAGCCAGCGATTAAAAAACACGTTAATACAGGGGAAATTTGCGAGCTAATCCCATGTCAAGAAAGTTCAAATTCCAAGTCAATAAAAATATAATCAATGGAAATGCAAATTAATAACCAGTCACGCACGACAGCGGTTGCCAGGAGATACAGTTACATCACATTTCATGGAGAATTCAAATGAGTTGATTCCATACTTTGAAACCTCCAATTAAGATGTTGTCTAGCAGGCGGGAGGCAACGAAAGCTTCGCAATTCAATCAACCAACTCCCAGAGAACACAACTAATTCAAAGGACTACAAATGTATCGGTAGCACAGTGGTTAGGATTCTCGTCGACCATGCACATGGCCCAGGGTTCGACGCCCTGCCGATGGACACCTGATAACTATGTTCGATCTGCAAAATTTAGGTTACCGATATCAAATGCTAAAAATGCCACACTTGTACCAAAAATACGGTCTGAAATCAAGCTACAATGAAGAAAAAAATTATTGAGGTTATAAGCCATTGATGAAAACTGAGGAAAGGGCGAAATCATGTATCCATACAATCACAGAAAATTTGCTTACCTTTCTAATATTTTTTTACGTAACTGTAAGACAACTTTACTCCTTGATGACACCTCTCCATCGGATTGAACATTTTTATTCAACTCTGATAGATCTTGCTCCGTAATTAATTGATTTGATGTATTTGATATTTGTTGTTGACTGGCGAAATTTGAGGCTGCTGCCGCTTCCATAGCCAGAATATTCGCTGCTGATGTAACTGAAGTTGATGAATTCATTGAATTGTGTACTCCGGTGAAATTGTGTAATTGATGGTAGTGCCGATTTGTTGAGTACCCGGTAGCTAAACTCAACGGAGCAGATCTTGTTCGACTAATTAATCCAAGCGATTGATGTCGACGGTATGGGAATAAATGAAACAATTTATTATTATTATTGTTATTCGTTGTTGTTGTTGGTGGTGTTGTCGCTGTATGCATTTGTGCATTATAATTTAATTCAACATTCGATTCTTCTTGAATATCCGTCGAATTGTTGACATCCGACATAGTTGTGTCTAACTGACTCAAATCATTCGAATCGAAACTTGATCCAGTGACATTATGAGTTGTAGGCGTTGATTTATTTGTTGGTAAGGTTGTCGGTGTCGTTGTATTATTATTATTATTATTCGTATTTGGATTAGTATTACTATTATTATGAGTATTAGCGCTCTTTTGATTCGATCGTTGAAATTGTGCTGTTAAATTCGGTAGACTTGCACAAGATCCACTTATTGTCGAATTGAATATACACGGATTCATAGGGATATCATTCAGCGAGTTAATTGATTCAATGCCTTGTGGATTAGGACAATAAGAATTGATCGTTTCTAATAATTCTTGGTTATTAGTAGTATTAGTAGTAGTATTTGTAGTAGAAGTAGAATTATTCTGACCACTTAACTGATTTGATTTAAGAAATTCAGCCAGTATAATATCTTGTAGGGTTTTTGACAATGGTAATAATGGTTGAGTCAGACACTGGGCTTCAGATTCCGATAGATTCAAGTCATCATTTGTCTGGCTTAAACATGGATTACTACTGGTATCTTGGCGTTGATGTTGGCGTTGGTGTTGGTGTTGTTGCAGTTGACTTTGAGCATGACCTTGTTGTTGTTGCTGCTGTTGTTGATATTGGTTCTGTTGTTGTTGTTGTTGTTGTAATAACAATAATGACGATGAGGCGGATTTTTTCCCAGTAGACTTTTGCATACTGAAATTAGCATGTTGAAATGCTGACGTCAATTGAGGCCAAAATCCGACCACAGATAATGGATCATTCGAGGCAACCATTGCTGCTGCCGCGACAGCAGCTGTTGCTGAATTTGCACCAAAATGTCGACGATCTGGTTTATAACGATACTTTTGTACACCGCCGGAACCGCTACGCATTTTTAAACTTGGCTCAGATACAGTTTTACGCAGATTTTCACTACTTGTTGTTCTTTGTTGGGATTGCTGTCGAAGTGGATGTTGTTGTGGATGCTGGCTGAGATGAGGATGTCGTAGAGGCGGAGTAGTATTGTCAGTTTGTCCAATTAAATTTCCACAAATACCACTTCCTAGAATTGATGTTTGTAAACTTTGAAAATTTATGTAGTGTGCTTCATTTTCTTGAAATGAGCCGAACACTTGTTGAGCTGTCTGACTACTACCACTATTATTATTATTACTATTACTATTAGTAATACTTATCGCATTATTAGTATCATTATTATCGTCAATACTACTACTATTATTACTACTATTATTATTACATTGGGATAATGTAGATTTCATCGGATTAGTTACATTGGTACTACTCCCAGTGGATAACCTTCCAATATCGATTGTCAATGGAGTAATACAATCATTTAGATTACTGTGTTCTATTTTCTCCAGATTATTTTCGTTAAAATTTAAATCTGATATCTTATTATTATTATCATTATTATTATTATACTGAATATCTTTATCAGTAGTAGTATTGTTGGCATTATTATTTTTACATTTAACTGTTTGTATTTGACTTTCTTGTTGATGATTTGATAGCGTGTTCACCACTCCAATACCTTGTTCTTTACTTTTACGCTTATTTAATACACAATTTTTTAAACGTTCACGAACAATTAATGACGTTAAATTTGGTGTATTCGATTGATTTAGAATATTTATATCAGTATGCATTTTTAAATAAGTTTTATTTTTTTTATTATTATTAGTCGTAGTAGTAATAACAGTATATAATACTGTGTGATGTAATCATTCACTCATGTATTCATGGTGAACCAAATATATTCCAGTGTATAATGTCGACACAATGTAACGTTCAAGCTCCACTCTGTTCAATGCTCAATATATATATGTATTATATTCAGTATTCAATGAGGTAATCCTTTGTTTTAATGAACAGGTTGCCATTGGAAACTGTCAATCAAATCAAATCAATGATTATTATAAGACAATTATTACACACTGTGTATTAAAGTATATGCGTTTTCTTGAAATTTATATACTTTTGTAGTATGCTAGTATTTCTATGTACAAATGTATGTATTATAAATGCTGACTGACTGATTCGAATTATTTTATCCCGCCTTTATTTAGTCAATGTGTGGGTGTTTGTCTGCCATTTATTCAGGCAGTCAGTTAAACGATCAACTTGTCGACCAATCAGGTACATCGTCAATTGGTCAATTAATAGTAGTTCTATATCTCTTATATATATATATATATATATATATATATATATATATATATATATATATCTTATTATATTCCTATGTTTATCATAATGAATATATATATATATATATATATAGCCAGATATTATATGGTTAGAAAATTTGCGTAGGCTGGATTCTTCTCCCTTTATATAACCATCTGAAATGAAAATGTGAACTCACCACCACTCAGGGAAAACACAGCCTTTATCTCCCTTCTCCACAACATCCTTGTCGTCCTATCCACCTCTGTTAATTCTTGTATTCTTCTATCTCTCTTTTTCTGTACAACAACAACAACAACGACAGAATTTGGTGAAATTAACTGCAGCATGCATGACAATGCTTGTTATTATTTTTGTAATACATCTACATGTGTGTTGCTGTGTAGATGGTAGCTCCAGACAGAATGGATGTGTGTCGTACATGTATATATATATATATATATATATATATATATATATTATATATATATATATATATTTTGTGGGTTAGATAGACACAGGAGAGAAGGAGTATAACAAACTACATACAAAGGCATCAAATGTGGGCAAATGTATTAGAACAGCAAAACATTACTGTGAAAAGATACGTATATGTACACTGTTGTTAATAAAGGCTATCTATGAATGACTGATTGAGTGAATGATTGGCTGGCTGGCTGGTTGGCTGATTACATCATCACGTGATCTTTGTATCTATGTTCGTGTGTGTGTGTGTGTGTTGGGAATGACTTTGGACACAATTTTTGCATCACTAGGTAGATATTTTATTATTAGTAGTAATATTATTTCCAGCCTGTCCATAAAAATTTTAAACTATTAAATTTATTAAGGGATTTCATCATGGGCTGATATCGGTTAGAGAATCATTGGAAAACCAATACCGGGAGTACTGGACAGCTCTTTCGTCAGCATAGTTTGGGACTCTTCATCAGTACGTGCCCACAATCCGGACCTTCTAGTTACAAGGCTAGCTAGCTTGTAGACTATTAAGCCAATGAGACCTGATCCACAAGGGTCAGTACAATAATTTCAACTTCTGCCAATTCACGATATCTAATTTCAGTTTCCGATGCAAACGAAAGTTAAATGAAGCCGTTGGTCCCAATGACCCTTGCAAAACTGATGATACTGATGTAGAACTCAAGTCTGAAGTTAAGTATCTTGGATTAATTCTTTCTTCTGACAACCTATCCTGGTCTTCCCATGTGTTAGCGATTTCTAAAAGAATATTTCGTTTGACTTTTTAAATTAACAATTTGAGGCACTCAGTTATAACCCAACCACTCCTCCTCTTACAGTTTGTCAACTCGTGTATTTTACCTATTATTCTATACTGTTCATCCTTGCTTATTCTTTCCTGGATTGCCTAAAAAAGACTACATCATACTTTGTAGAACTCTGAAGACTGTCAGTAGGCCGAGTGGCAGCTATCCCATTGGGCCATATCGTTAACACTGTCATTGATTTCATGTAATAAATTTGGTAAAGGAATTTGTCAGACTGTGAACATCCACTTCAGCACCGACAGCTCCAACCTTATGTTTCCTCATGTAAAATAAGAAGTCTTTTCAGAAGACTTTATGCACGTACGTGTAAGTATAAAATTCCACTATACCATATTTCACGGCACGTACTTTATGTGAGGAAAATAGTGTCAGGCATGAACTAACTAACTTACCTTCTTTGCACTACTAACTAAACCATTTCCTCCATCCTTATTCCACCAAGCTTTATTGTTATTGTTCCTCTCCTATTCAAAATCCTCTCAAATTTTTGTTTTGTTTATTCTCTCGAAAGTGTGAACATCATTTAAGCTGTGTTATAACTGTTGATTTTGTATTTCCCCTCACCGTGCTGCTATATCAACAGAATATTAGATCCAATAATCTATAACATGCTAAAGTTTCCAAACTGAATCGACAATACTGTTTGAAACAAACTCAATGTTATTGTTATTATTATATATATTATTCTCAACTGGTACTTCGAATATTTTTGAATTTATATCGTAAATGTGGACAAATTGCTCTGGTTAATTTTGTTTTAATTTTTAATTTAATTTATATTTTGAGTAAATCAGATGCAAGGTGTTGTGACAAATGCTGAGAATTCCATTCTGTACTACAAGTACTGTTTTTGGAATAAAGTAAATTATTATTATTATTATTATAGAGCGACTATAAAAAGAAGAACTACTAAACATTTCTAAGATTCTCAAGAAAAATAACTACCAGAAGAACTTCATCAACAAAATCAATATTAAGAAAATAAACACAAGTGATTCAGCGAAGAGACTCTTTTCAACGAATATATCATCAAGCTGTACAGTTCTCCCTTGGATCCTCTCCTTGCAGACGTTTTTATGTCCAGTCTAGAAAATAGTTCCCTGAAGCCTATAATCCAAAGCTTTCAAATATATAAAAGGTATGTAGATGACACCTTTATTATTTGTAATAGTGATTGTAACCTGAATAATATATTAAGTGTATTTAATGAGTGCCATCCTGCGATAAAATTCACACTCGAAATGGAGAACGAGTCTAGCATTCATTTCCTCGATGTGAACTTACCAAGAAGGACCGATGGAACTCTGAAGAGATCGATTTATCGTAAGCTGTTATGGAATGGTCAACTGACAAATTTCTACAGCTGGGTACCCATTGGTCGAAAACGAAACCTGGTCCGGTCGCTTGCCACTCGTATTCGACGCATATGTAGCACTAACACTGTGGAAGATGAGTTATACACTTTGAGGAAAATCTTAATGGAAAATGGATTTCCACCACGTTTTATAGATAAGAATATACATTCAAAGCCTACAAAACGTGACTTATCAACCGCTCCCAAGAAAATACTTTACATGAGCTTATAATTCAAAGGCGACTTAGCTTCCGATATCATGAAACGAAGGATATCACAGTCCCTGAAAAGAACATTCCCTGCTGCCTCTCTGAGAATAGCTTTTACTAGTCGACCATTACTGTTCAATAACCTGAAGGACAAGATCCCAATGTTGACCAACTCTATGTGCGTTTATCAATTCACCTGCTCGTGGGGAGCTAGGTATATCGGTCGTTCGACTCGAGTTTTGTCCAAGAGGGTGCAAGAACATTATCCTGCATGGCTACGAAAAGGTGGAAGTGGAGCAATAAGAAGCGCGATCATAGAACATCTGGTCGATAATGATCACCCTATCTCTATAGCCTCCGCCTTTAAAGTCATCTACAAGGCAAAGAGCAATCTACCCAAATCCCTACGTACCCGACTCATCTGTATTGCTGAAGCTTTGGCTATCGAAACAGAAAAGCCAGATCTCTGTGTACAGAAAAAAGTTCGTTCAACCCCTCCAACTTTCATGGTCTTAATCCCTCTATGCTAAAATATGATAATCCCCAATCATATTTTAGCTCTACCAATTTTTCATTTTTCATTTTGTCTATTCATTTTGTATACTCTTCCTTATTAAGTCAATTGTTATTATTACTGTTCTCACTTTGAACTGTCCCCGCTATTATTTCACTTGTTCCACTTGCCATTCTAAATCAATTCTTTTTATAACGTTAAATTCTATGCTATTAAATTTGACACAATATTACGTAACGTTTTTGTTTTATTCGATTTGTCTACTAATCCTATAATTGCACATCCTTTTTCATGTTCTATCCATCCTATGAATTATTCTATATATGACATTAATCTGCTTTGCCACTTGACATTTAACTACGACTATAATCACAAACATTTTAGTTTTAATTGAACTTCATATGATTATTATTATTATTATTTTATGCATTCACACCTAAGATTCAATTCCCTCACCGGATGTAACTTCTGAAAAAACCATATATATACGACTGTACAGCTTGATGATAAATTCGTTGAAAAGAGTCTCTTCGCTGAATCACTTGTTTTGATTTTCTAAATGTTATAATGGGAATTCTCCATGAGTTAGTAAAATCAATATTACTACTATATATGGTCGAAAATGCGCATTCCAAAGACATGAACCTCAACAGTTGTCATTCAATATTGATTAGAAACTTTCGACGATATCAGAAGAGTACTCGCTAAACACAACATCATAGTTGTGTCTATTTGAATAAAATGCCTAAATGGTGTCAAGATATAGATCGGATAAACCTCAAGAGAAATCAAGGTAATCAGAAGAAATGAACACCGTAGAGCTGCCTCTATTCGGCCACCAAGGAATCCAGTTGAACTAGAAAATCAGCCATCACCCATAGTTGGTCTACATGCGACGCTATAGAATCAGATCACAGAATTGATTTTTACAGTATTGAAATATTCAGGTATTGGTTTTGAAGGGGATTTCTTTGATTGGATGGAAGATTTCATCATGAGCTGACATCAGTTAGAGAACCATTGAAAAACTTGGCAGTACTGGACAGCTATTTCGTCCTACTTTGGGACTCTTCATCTTTACGCACCCACCATAGTTCAAACCCATGACCTTCTGGTTACAAGGCGACCTCGCAGACCACTGACCCACTGGGACCCAATCCAATGGTCCTTGAATCCTAACTTCCGCCAATTCACGACATAGCGCGACCATTTTACAATGTCTTCTTCGATGGGTGCGTACTACTGAAGAGTCCTGAACTAGGACGAAACAGCTATCCAGTACTTCCAGGTTTTCCAGTGGTTCTCTAACTGATGTCAGCTCATAATGTAATCCTCCATGCAGTATTGAAATAATTCAGGAATCATAAAGAACGTCTAATATCATGCGAAGCACTTCATATCAAGTGGAACCCAAATTTTCTGAATAGGAATGATAGACTAAAACAGAACTTCACATGGTTTCAACACTACCGTCCCTCATGAAAGTGGCATAATACGAATGTGATGAGCAGTTTCCTTATGCAAACACCTGCTGTTTTTATAATATCATACGCTTATCCAGTTCAACAGTCTACATTCGGTTTTGT